ATTTCAACCCGGGGCCTAGAACAGCTGAGTGCCGGTGTTTCCCAAAGCAAAGCGCCCTATCCCAAGCCCACCGCGCCCTCCGTTGAAATCTGCTTGATGGGTGGCACTTTCGTACAGCTTCCGAAAAATCCACAGGGCCTGGCAACTCAAACAGGTAGAACTCATCGCCAAATCCGCTTACACCAGAAGCGCGCGATAGCAAACAGGTGCATCTTGGATTGCGGCGCGCGCCCAAAACATGACTGGCGTCCAAATGCTACTTGTAGGTTCCGGGCCCCTGCCCAACACGGCGAAACCGCCGTGTGAACGGCACCAAAAATGCGCGGAGTCCTAAGAGAAATTGCTCCGGCAGTTCTGGACATGGTGGACAATACAAACATATTTCTGTGAGGAAATGGGAACCCGCCACGCGTTTTCCAACAATGGGTCTGGATTGCCTGCCTGCACTTGCGTTTTTTGATCCCTGGTCATATATGTCCAATAGTGAAATCGATTCTCTGTCAAACCATGGTATTTCAGCAAATCGATGCCTGGCTTTGCGTCCATGGGGCTTCTGACACTTGCAGCACTCCTCCCTCTGGACCGCCTTATCCAGTGCCTTCATCGCACCTCGAGTCGGGGCCCATGGAGAGAACTGGACACCAAACGATGCCTCAATTCTGATGTTGAGGTAGGGCTCAGGTCTTGTTTGAGGTAGTAACCACCAAATGGAAACCAACTATTATGTATGTTGATCAACCTTCCTGGAGTCTCCGTGGTCCGGCAAAAAGTATCCAAGTAGTTGTGATTGGTTCTGTACAGGGAGTACAGGGAGCAGTGAACCAGAGGGCTTCTGTAGTCCTGTTCAATGACTGGAACTCCCCAAACACCGGACCCCAGAAAAAGAAATCCTCCCGCGTCGGTCGGCGAGTTAGGGATTCCGGTTAACTGACTGTGCATCAAACCATCTTGTTGCTTCCAAATTGTGTCACGTGTCCCTTTGATCTCCTGAAATTTAGGAAGTTGCGCCTTCCCCGTACCGCCCAAAATGAGTTGCCTGGTGACTTTGTGGTACTTGTACGGAAAACCACGAAGCCACTACAACTGGGTCACGATGTTCGGTTGAACCCTTCCCACAGGGGGTCCTTGTAAGAGAAAGACTGTTCGAAAACTAAATGCCTCCGGGGCAGTACAGTGAACCGGCAAAGTGGCAAACCTGTGAGCAATATGTCGGGCAACCTTGCCTCTCCGGTACTTTCGTCATCCAATCTTCAACTTCCGCAAAAGTGACGAGCAAATGGGAAAACCAGCCATGTCCCCTTGGATCTAAGCAAAATAAGATTGACTCATAAGCTTTTGCCATGCACCTGCACACCTGCGCACGCCCACCAAAAGCTTTGCCACGACGGATTGCTCCGAAGCGCCGCTGGCGAAGTTGTTCAGCTTCACCAGCTGCTGGCGCCGCCACTGCTGCGCCCGGTCCCTGTCCCTTGCCCGGTGCCGCTCCCTGACTGACAGCTGAAGGGAGCAGAGATGACAGCTGAAGGGAGCAAAGCAACCAAAAGGAAAACCTCCATTTTGGGGGGAACCCCCCAAAAAACAGACACGCCCACACACGCTCGTGCTCTATGTCCCTCCCAAATGAGTCTCTGATGGAAAGACCCCTGCCTCGCGTGGGCGTTGAGCCTCTGAAGCTCCGCGTCACCTGCCGCTTGCTGACGAACAAACCAACTGCACCGCGTCGGCAAAAAACGAGCAAAAGTGCAAACGCAATGAAAATCGAGCAAAATGCCTCGCAGGCGAAGCGAAGGGGAGGGCTTCGAAGCGAAGCGAAGCAAAGCGGTGCAAAGTGCAGGGAAGCAAAGCGAAGCGAGCAGCACGGTCACACACAGTCACACATCCAATAATTGTGGCTTCGCAATAGATCTGGAGCAGAAGAGACCCCCCTCCCCTCAACTTCCAATGTTCTCAAATTGTTTTTTGGGGCATCTACGAACTCCAATGGCGCTGGGAAAGTGATGGCATCAGTGCTGGGTCAGCCTTCAAAACACAGCGAGCTATGGAAAGCAACAATCAGTTGGCATACCCAACTGGGTACAGTTGCCACATACTTGGAGACTTGCCGATGGCTGAATTGGGCGCAACACGTGTGTTTTCATGGCTCCAAAAGGACCGAAATTCACTACTAGACCCTTTTTTGGGTGCTTACTTCGGGAAACCAACAACCCACCTTTTGAGGGGTTTCGACAAACACACACGCACACACACAGACACAACGAGGATCGGTCGATTTTTCGGGCCGAGGTGCGTTCCGCCGAGGTCACCGCGTGGGACCTCGCCATCTTCTGGAGCCTCTCGGTCCTGAGAGCGCGCGCCGACTTTGTTTCCCAGGGAAAACCAGAAGTTAAGAGTCGTCCACGAGGCCACATGTGGGTGAAAATCATGTCGCCCGGCCGAAAACAACTTATTCTGTGTGTGTGTGTGTGGTGTGGGTGCGGTGCGTGTGCGTGTGCGTGTGCGTGTGCGTGTGCGTGTGCGTGTGCGTGCGCGCGCAATCCGCATACGCGCAGTGCGCAGGCGCGTGCGCGTGCGCGTGCGCGTGCGTGTGCGGGTGCGCGTTCGTGCGCGTTTGCGGGTGCGTGTGCGTGTGCGTGTGCGTGTGCGTGCGCGCGCACGCGCAATCCGCGTGCGCGCAGT